ACCAGCACTTCCCTCCGATTCCAGGCTCCATCTTACTCATCTCTCCTCTTGCTTCAGGCTTCAATATGGCTCAGCACAGTTGCTGATTCTGTTTTTAATCTAAACATGTCATGTTTTTAACCTTGGTTTAAAAAAAATATATATTTTATTGATTTTACACAGAGAGAAATTGAGAGGGATAGAGAGTTAGAAACATCGATGAGAGAGATGCATTGATCAGCTGCCTCTTGCACACCCCCCACTGGGGATGTGCCTGCAACCAAGGTACATGCCCTTGAACGGAATCGAACCCGGGACCTTTCAGTCTGCAGGCCGACGCTCTATCCACTGAGCTAAACCGGTTTTTTTTATCTTGGTCACTGAGTTGTTTTGTGTTCCCTTAAATTTCCTGCTGCAATGTCCCCTCCTGAGCACCCTAAATAGCACCCCTTCTCCCCCAGAACCACATCCCCCTCGTCATCACCATCTGCCCAGACACGGATACGTGGGCATTGCTTTGCCTGCTTCCTGTCTGTCCCCCTCGATGTCACTCCTGGCTGCGTCCCCAGGGGCCGGCAGAGAGATGACTAGGAAACATGAATTAAGTGGGTTAAGACCATCTGAAGGAGTAACAAACAGAAATGCTCTTCAAAGAGAACATTCCTTTTTCTTTGAAAGCAAAGGCATCGCTCTGGTCTGGGGTCAGGCAGGAAGAGTCCAAGGTCTGAGGCCAGGGCAGGGTGCCTGTGAGGGGTCTGGGTTTTCCTCCGAGTCTCCGTGGAGCCCAGAAAGGAGATGAGGGAGGGGTGATAGCAGGTCCCTTTGGAAACGCCCCCTTTGGCGGCCACAGGAGCTAAGAGGGAGGGAGGGGGGGAGACTGGGGGCTGGGCGGCCAGGGAGGAGGCCCAGGAGGCGGGGTTCCGTCAGGTGGCGGGATGAGGAGGGATGACCCGGTTGGGAGAAAGGGGCCGTCAGAGGGAGGTCTGGGCTGGAGTCACATGGGAGAGGTCGGCTTGGAGACGGAGACCCAGTCAGGTTAAGGTTGAGACCACTGCGTTCTGCAAAGCGAGGGCACTTTGTTGGGCATCCTGGGACATCCTACAGGCCCGCCTCCGCCAAAATTCTTGACTTCAGTGGCTGAGATATACTTGTACAAACCCACACAACTCCAACATCAAGAGAAAAGACAGGCTCATGCCAGCACCCATGAGTGCCAGCTGTATACTGTAGTGATTAAAAACCAAATGGAATGAATGTGTGACCCGGTCAGGAAAGGATTTCCAGCTTTGAGGACGGAGGAGCGGCTGGCAGAGCTGAGGTGGGCGGGGTGTGGAAGGGAACTCCAGGCAGACTGGGCAGCCAACCCCCTCCTTGGAGCCGGTCCTGAGGGGGGTTGGGATGATCACCTGAAATAAACCACAGCAGAGGACGGAGGCTGTTTTGGGAGCAGCCCCTATGCTGGAGAAGCAGGGGCAAGTGCTGGGCCGGCCCCAGACGGAGGCGATGGTCCGAAGCTCCTGTGGGCCAGCGCTGCCGGAAAGCCTTCCCTCCCTGCGGGGAGCCGAGCCGGCCCCTCCGCCCTGGAGCACCGCTGCTGGAGGGCGGAGGGCGGAGGGCGGAGGGCGGAGGGCGGAGCCGTGCCCGGGCCGCCCGCGGGCGCTGCAGGGCCGAGAGGGCCGCCTTCAGTCTCCCAGGCCAGGTTTTACAAGACTGATTTATTAACTATGATACATATCACATAAGGCCTTTTCAGTTTTTTACACCATTCCCATTGAGACAAGTACAATACTTTGTAGCAAATACATGATTTTAAAAAACAAAACCAAACGAAAACACCTCAGTCCGAGATGCCTCAGCCTCGGTGGCGGCTGACCATGCACTATCGGGCGGAGCCTCGACATACCCACGTGTCCAAAGCAAGCCTGGGAAGTAAGCAAACATTCCTAACACCAGCTAGAGGATGTCGTGGTTAAGCCCCTAACGTACAAAGAAATAACTGTTATACCTCCTTTACATACAGTTCTCCACTTGGCTGCAAAACAGGATTTCGGGCACACGGCCAGACTACTAACACATTTCAATACCATTAATGTTTTTGTTTTTCTCAGGAAACTCAAAATATTTGTTAATCCGACATATATAAAGATCATTTAACAGGTGAAAGTACAAGTACCAGAAAAATAAGCTGGCAGCAGCACTGTTCCAAATTTTCAGACAAGGTTTATTCCCGTAAAATTCAGACATTTCCTTTTTGCAAATGTACACAGGGAACAGGATTCCTTTTTACGTGAACAATAACTTATGTGTCTCCATGTCGAGTGCCGTCACTGCTGCCTGAGCGGCGGCCCCCTCCCCGCCCCTCCCTGTGCCGCCCCGGGTGGGACTCGGGTGCCCTCCCCGCCCCTCCCTGTGCCGCCCCGGGTGGGACTCGGGTGTCGGGCACGGGCTCAGGCTGTCCGCTCACTTAAGAGGCAGTAAGTGGCTTGAACCTGCCAAGCAATAGGTGGGCAGCTGCCTGCGCATGCTGTGCCCACCCCACAGACAAGCAAAGCCTGTCTGCCCACGGCGCCCCTGCACTGGAGGGCTGAGGCTGGTTTCCTCGGCCGCTGACCACGCTCTCCCCAGGACCCCCACCCCAGCAGCGCTCCCTCACGGGAGGGGCGGGGGGGGGGGCGGGGGGGGACTCAGGCCACAAAGGCTGCAGGTTGTTTTCAAGTTTCAGGGCTGAGGCTGGAACACCCACGACCTGGGGAAGGTCCCCCTCCAGCCTCATTCCTTCCGGAGCTGAGGGACAGGGACCGGGCAGGCGTGCTCCTCTGGGGGGGGGGGGGCCCTCCTGGCACACCCCTGCTGGACCCTCCCCAGAAGCATGCTTCCTGTCTTCAGCAGAGGATGTGGCGGTGGGTGCAGTGCGCACAGAACCGCACCGCGGACTCTCGGCATCCCTCCTCAAACGCAGGGATGGGCACTGGCTGGACGGGCTGCTCCCTGATGTGCAGCAGCCCAGGCCAGGCAGACCTAGGCCTCGCTCCTGGCCGCAGACCACCTCCCCAGGGCGCCTACACTCTGGGGACTGGCTGGGGGGAGCCCTAGCTGACCCCTCCAGGCCACGGCCACTTCCTGCCTGCCGCCCCCTCAGCTGTGAGCGCTGTGGGCTGCAATCCACTTAAGGCAGTTCCCAGCAGCACCCCGGCTCTCCCTCCTGTCCCCTCCGAGTGCCCGTTTGGTGTGAAGACAGACCTCCGACTGCAACTTAGAACCCAGCAATGTCCTTGGGCCTAGCCAGCTGGAGGAGCAGAAAGGAGCTCAGGGTGAGCAGAGCCTTGGAGACGGGAGACCACGGCGGGCGCTGGGCACCAGCCGCCTGCACCTCGGAGCCCCGCTGCCAGGCGGCTCCCTCCACGGGGGGTGGTGGTGGTGGTGGTGGGGGCAGGAGCAGCCGCTCCTGTCTGAGGGGCCTCAGGAACGGCGGGTGGGAAGGCAGGGTGGGGCCGCTGAGTTCCTGGTACAGAGGAGGTTGCAGGCGGCGGTGGCGATGGGGGGACCACGCTCCTGTCAGTCCACAGGGGCAGTGGCTCCGGCCACCCTCCAGCTTCCCTCCAACCACGGCCGGTACCTGCAGGCGGACTGGGAGCAGGGCAGGTGCCCAGGAAGAGGGAGGACACCCGCACTTCCCCAGGGGCCTGCCACCCGCCAGGAGGGCACACCGCCCCGTTTACACGCTCTGACTGTTCCCGGAGGGCACACCGCAGTCACCCGAAGCCCAGCCTCCGCACAGGAACACACGCAGCAGGGCCGGCTCACCCAGAGGAAGTCAGGGTGCTAGGGGCTGGGGGGCCGGCCATGGCACCCGGCTGGGCAGGGCTCGCTCGAACATTCCACAGGTGCTGCTAAAGTGCAAAGACCCGGAGGCCTGGTGGCACGCGGGCCCTCCACACTCCGGGTACCTGTGTCAGGCTGCCCCCTGCAGGAGGGGGCAGCTCAGCGGGCTGCCATTGGGGCGGCGGTGGGTGAGTGGTTCTCCCAGGGGCCAGGAAGCCGAGGGGAGGGCACGGTGCTCTGGAGACTGTGGCCTTTGTGCCTGGGGCTCCAGGCCGCCGGCCCTGGGAGCATGAAGGATGCGTGCGGGCAGCAATCGCCACACCCGCCCTCTCCCCACAGCAGCGCTGCTGGCGGCCTCATACGGCCCAGGATGAAAACGACTCCATTTCAACACCAAACACACTAAACAACCCCAGGCGCACTGCACCCTCAGCCGTCCCCTCCCTCACAGGCGCACCACTCCCCCCACGCGTGCACACACACACACACACACACACACACACACAGTAGTGTTCCCATAGTACTGTAGTGTGTCCAAAGGCAGACCAAGTTCCAGGCTGGCCTGCTGGTCTCCCCGCTCTGCCCACTAAGGGCTCAAACCATCTTTTGGGAAAGGGTGACCGTGAGACCAGCGGGCTCTCAGGCACCAGCCGCAGAGAAGGGCCGCTTCCGCCTGCTGCCCTCCAAGGGGAGAAGAGCTGGATCTCAGGTCTGCGTTTGCTCTGGTAGTGTCTTCCTTTTTCTTTCCAACGATTACTGGGTTTTCCCATTTCCTTCAGTGTCCTGGCCGCCAAGGGCAGGTGTCCCCACGCCCGGGAAGGGGGCCGGGGCCGGAGGGGAGGCTGGCTCCCTGATCCGGCACAGCTCCTCCCTCAGCGCTGCCCCCCGAGGAGGACGCCGGACAGGCATCGAGAGGGCGGGAGGAGACAGACGGGAAGTGTTCTCCGGGGCTGCTGGCCCTGCCCCGGGGTGGCCTGCATCTCGGAACCTCCTCCTTTCGCTGTCCACGGCCAGGCTGTCCAGGCAGCGGGCGGTGCACCGAGGCCAGTGTGCGCGGGCGGGCGGCCAGGGAGCCGTGAACGATGAGGGCCACTGGGCTGCTGCCTGACAAGTTCAGTCCTCCAAGGGTCCGTGACAAAGGGCAGGACCACCAGCCACTGCCTGTAGCCAGCCCCAGGCCTGAGAGCTGGGCTTGGGGCATCTGACAGCCCAGCCGCCTCCGGTGGACTGCCGGCTGGTGCTCCCGCTGAGGCTGTGAGAAGGTGACAGGCAGAGGGCACCCCCACCCTGCCCAGTGGACCACAGGCCACCTTACCAGAGAGAAGACAGCTTCCTTTGCCCCCGAGCGCGGGGACTCACAGCGTGTGCTCAGCTTGAAGCTGGGAGGGCAGCAGCGGCTGCATCGGGGACTGGGGGGTGGGAGGGGGGGACTGGGGGGGCGATGGCTGGCTGGTGATGGGGGTGGAGGTGAGGAAGGGCGCGGTGGAGGCCGCGGCGGAGGGGGAGCTGGGCGTGGCGCCGGGGGGCTCGCTGATGGGCCGGTTGTAGAAGAAGAAGGGGCACTGCTGGATGAAGAGCTCGATGATTGTCTGGTAGGTGCGCGTGGCGGTGAGCGCGTCCATGGTGCTGAAGTCCGGCCGCATCAGGGTGGGCCAGAAGCAGATGGAGAGGTTCTCGCTGGTCATGAGATTCACCTTGTTGTTGTGGCTGACTCTGTAGGTGACACCGAATTCACGGTCAGAGCTCTGAGGGACAGTGGCCCCTGAGGCTCTGTGCCCTGGTCGCTGTCACTGCTGTCCGTCCTGCCTGCCCTGCCCTCCGCTTCAGTGTCCCCACATGGCAAGCCCCCGGGGATGGCTGGGACCCTGGCTCAGGGGAGGCCTTGGGGTGAACAGTCTGCCTCCGGGACTCTTGCCCAGACCACCAGAACGCTCTGGCTGTGCAGGGATGGGAGTGTGTCCCCCAAGCCAGAGCTCCCTGACACCCCGGCGCCAAGGTGACAACCAGGTCTGCCTGGGGAACAGACGTGTCTCGTGGCCAGGTGTCCTGCCCTCCCTGCACTCGGGCTCTTTCCCGGTGCACCTGGTGGCGAGGCGCTGGGCCCCCCGAGGAGACCGGAGAGGGGACTTCGGCCCGCTTGGGGCCCTGTGGGGCTCGGACTGAACCAGGTGGGCCTGAGCCAGTGCCCCGGGGGAGGCGGACAGCACCCTACAGCCCGGCGGGGGACGGACCTCGCTCCGCCTCCTGCTGCTGCTCACTGCCCTGCCCGGCGAAGCCCGCGGAGAGAGACCGAGCAGCCGCCCCAGACCTACTTGTTCAGGTGGGAGATGACGTATTTGAAGACTTCGTGGTTTTCCTTTGGAAACTTCTTGAGGACTTCCTTGAGGGCATGCAACTTCTGCTCTCGGTCGTTGATTTCTGAGGAAAGAAAAAAACCAAAGACTCATGGCCGAGGCTGGGGTGCTGTGGGGCTCAGAGCAGACCCGGTCCGGCGGCCACCAGGGGGTGCTGCCGGACCTTCTCTGCGGGAGGCCCGGGCCTTAGGAAGCCAGCCCCGTCCTCCCCTGGAGCTGGGCCACAGCGGCACGCCTGGCAGGCTCGGGCCTGGGGCGGGCCCACCTCTGGGTCCCAGGCGCCCGCTGAAGGGGAGCACTGCGCCCGAGCTTCCTGGCCCCCACACCAGAGACGCCACCATAAAGAGCGCTCTTCTCTGCTCATCTGGTTGCCCCTGGAGACGGGCGTCTCAACGCAGAAAGCCCGCTTGCTTCCTGACCAGACGGAGTGCTGCCACCACCCACGCCAACCGACTGTCTAGGGAGGGCGTTTGTCACAAAAGCAGGGCTGTCCTTTCCCGGAGCCACCAGACCCTCACATCCCCTATAGGAAGAGCGATGGAAACAGTGGGGATTCTCATGCAGCCCATCAAGGGACATGCTTGTCTCCCCCCCGCCCCCTCCCCGCCTTAGCCCATCATGAAACCCTAATGTGCTGGAGAGAACACAGCTCACCAGGAGGCAACACTTAACCCACGCCAGGCCTGGTCCAGCAGCCCTCACGGCCTGAGGCCAGGGCGGCTGCAGAAGCTGAGGGGGACACTGCTCTCTGGGGCCGGGCCAGAGCCCCCGGAGTCAGGCAGCCGGGACGGGTTCTCTGGGCGTGGGAGGGACCGGGGCTACTGCTTGGGACTGCAGGGCTCCGCTCTCACAGCGGGGCCACACAGGAGCGGGGCCATACACTGCGCGTGTGGGTGGCTGGATGGGTCCATTAAGAAATAGGATGGTTCCTCGTTGGTTTGGGGCACAAGCTCCTTTGCGAGGGGAGACACAGCCCCTCTCCTCACAAACAAGCCAAGCACAAGCTCCCGAACCTGGAGGCTGCGGACTCCCACCCGGTGTTCTTTGGAGCGAGGGTCAGGCCGGGCAGCGCTGGAGAAGTCTGGCTCACGCTAGACTTGGAAGAAGATGGAACAGAAACAACCAGCTGGGCTGGGAGGGCGGGAGGTGCAGAGAACCTGCTGGGAAGCCCTGATCCACAGGGATCTGGGTGCGAGTGCTGCCTCGGACCCCAAGCAGCTGTGTGGCTGGGGAAGTGACACAGCTGACCACCTGTGTGTAAGGGGCTGAGGACGGTGCCTCCCTCACTTGGCGGACACTCGTGAAGAGATCAGACAAGAAGCCCAGGACCAGTCTGACTCCAGAAAACCAGGACGGGAAGCTGTGGAGAGCGCTGGCTGGCAGGCCGAGCATGAAACTGGGTACATTTTTTGACTTGCAAGTGACTTGATAAAAAATACGCATTCTGTGAACATTTGCCTGTTAGAAAATGACCAAAAACAAGACAAAACAAAACAAATAAAAAGCCCACAGAAACTATCTGTGTGGTCATTATCAGCTGCTTTTCTCTGAACCCAAGATTTATTTTATTATTATTTTTAAATACATTTTATTGATTTAAAAAAAATATATTTTATTGACTTTGTACAGAGAGGAAGGGAGAGAGATAGAGAGTTAGAAACATCAATGAGAGAGTCATCGACCAGCTGCCTCTTGCACACCCCCTACTGGGGATGTGCCCGCAACCAAGATACATGCCCTTGCCTGGAATCGAACCCGGGACCTTTCAGTCCCCAAGCCGACGCTCTATCCATTGAGCCAAACCGGTTTCGGCTGATTTTTTTTTTTTTACAGAGAGGAAAGGAGAGAGATAGTTAGAAACATCGATGAGAGAGAAACATTGGTCAGCTGCCTCTTGCACACCTCCTACTGGGGATGTGCCCGCAACCAAGGAATATGCCCTTGACCGGAATCGAACCTGGGACCCTGGAGTCCGCAGGCCAACGCTCTATCCACTGAGCCAAACCGGTTTCGGCCCAAGATTTATTTTAAGGGTTCAACCAAAGTTTCCCCAGAAACAGTAAGCAGCCCCTGGAGGAGGCCTCACTCAGTAACGCCATTGCGCCCCTTGGAGATGTGAGCTCAGCACAGGGCCCTGGGTGCGTGCGTGCGTGCGCGCGCGCGCACACACACACACACACACACACACACACACACACACGTGTGCTGTAACGAGCATCCCACAGCCACAGCACCTTCACCTCGGGCAGCCGCACCCGCCCTCCAGGCTGGAGGCAGGAAACGGGGCTGGCAAGGCCACCGTCTGCCCTGGATGCCCTTCCTTCCTCTCCGCTGAGCAACAAGGAGGGTTGCTTCCTCCCTGTTCCTCGGGGAAAAGAAGGGGCAGGGTGGGGTTCACTGCGCCTGCTTTGGTAGTAATTATGAACCACACCCAGGAATGCCCACCTCCTTCCTTCCTGACACAGTGAGGTGCCCAACAAGGACGTCCACGGCCACCTCCCTGTGCCCTCCCTTTCTCCCCGAGCTTTGTGCGCAGGTGTCCAGGATGCTGAGGAGCATCCAGTGAGCGGTGGGAGGAGGAGGGAGGCCATAAAGGAGAGCAACAGGAAGTCTCCCAGGGCAAAGCCTGGCCCTGCATCTGCCACATGAAAAGCAGGGCCTGTCCTGCTGTGCGCTTCTGACCCGGCCTTGTTCGCGTCCCTCAGACAAGCGAAGCCCCATCAGTGCCCAGGGATCAACTCCAGGCTCAAACCGGCAGCCTTTCCACGCCAGCCCAACACCAGGGGCTGCTCGCTCCGGGCGCGCTGCATGCTGGCCGGAGATTTCGGCTGCTTCCTGTGCAGCCCTCACCCCACCTGAGTGAGGGAGGGGCTGGGTTTACCCCACAGGCTGGCTAAGCAAACCTGCTCCGAGGCAATGCCAAGGGCACGAGGCTGGTGAGGGGAGGAGGGGATGACCAGGCTGACACCTGGGCCAGCACACCCGCTCCGGGCCACCTGCCTTCCACCCCACTGCAGGGCCCCCTCCCACTTCAATAATGCTCTTTGGGGCGGGGGTGGTAGTTATAGGGTTTGGGCCCCCCAAGCTAACACACCACTCTTTTGAAATCAGGTGTCAGGTGAAAGCAAGACACTCTAGGAGAGGCAAGACAGAGTCTGGACACAGACCAGGCATCTTAGAACCACTGAGACCACAGAACTCAGGAGGAAGAGGAGGGGACCGCAGAGACTAGCTCATCACATGCCTCATGCTAGAACCTCGGCTCAAAGTAAAAATACTGGTCTAAGCTCACATACACTGGTGTCAGGGACCCTGACCTCAAACACCAGTCCCACTTGGCTGTGCCACTCTGCTGCCTGCCATCTTTGGCATCCAGGTTGCCAACCAGGCTCTAGGCTTGGACCTGCCGTGCCCAATAGTGCCCAGAAGGAATTCCTTGATGACCTTTACCACCTGGCACATGGGCACCACCAGAAGAGGACAACACCCACTCAGGGCCACACCCTCAGTGAGGCATGCGGGCACACTGTGGGCAGTCCCACCTTCCCCGCAGGAGGACATGTCCTCCTGGAGGCAAACCCCGCAATAGCCTGCTCAGTGACCCACGTGTCAGGGACTGGCACGTGCTAGGAGGTGAGGGACAGACAAGAGGAAGCAGGATCCCCAGAGGAGCAATGTCACCAGGCAGCATGTGAACAAGAGCCCAGTGAGCAGCCGGGCTGGCCCGCCTGGTGACTGGGCTGTCTGTCGGTTAGTGTCTGTGGCCCTATGTGGTTTCACCTGAAAATGGGATGCTAAGATGGTGAGCTGCATCCTGAACCAGCTTGGGTCACACATCCCTTTGACAATCTGATGAAAGCTGCTGGTCTTCTCTATGGACTGCAATGTGCACACGGTCTCACTTGCAGTTAGAGGTCCCTGGAGTCAGAGGTCCTTGGTCAGAACCTCTGAGCTGAGGCGGGGCCCGCTGCAGGGCTCCTTCCGCACAAAGACACAGGCCAGCGCCTGTGCGGCACCGGGAGGACCAGGGGGTTCCAGCCGGGTGGCGGGGCCACGGGATTGTGGGAGGTAATGGAGAAGGTGTGGAGCAGGAATAACTGATGACACTTTTTGAATGCTGAGGTGAGGTGTGAGGAGATGGAAGGGGGAAGTCAAAGCTGTTTTCTCTGCCTCATGCCACCTCTTCCATGCAGCCCTCTACCTTACTCCCTCCACGCTTTTGCCTTTTCTGTATTTCTAGCTCAGCTTGCTTCCTTCTGTCTGGCAAACGGCTTCCATGTGCACGCGGGGCGGGCAGGGACAATGTCTCACCCCCGAAGGTCAAGCCTCAGCCTGCCACTCCCTCGTGGCATGCTGTTCTTCATTTCTCAGTCTCCCGCACATTACCTTGAATGTGGTAGAAAGATGACTGGTGAATGAATACTCACAAAAATCTCTAATTTGTGGGCACATTTTCAGCATGTTCAGTATTATGAAATTATGAAGCTAACAAAACAATTTGATAGTGACCTTGGAATTTGTTGTGATGGGCTCTGAAGCCATTTCCAAGCCCTGAATACACACAGACACAACCGTTCTTAGGCATTAAGAGCGAAGAGCTGGTCAAGCTGCTGTTGCCATGGAAACCCCGCCGGGCTGGGGCTCGAGAGCCTTGTGCCCTGTCCCGGGACAGACTCTGGCACTGCCCGGGGCTGTCTCTGGCTCCGTTAGCCATCCCTGGCACACAGCCCACTCTTCACTCAGCTGGCTTTGGCTGTCGGAGGTGCCAGGCCACTCACTCCCCGAAACCCGGCTCAGACAGCACAGGGAGCACAATAGGAAGGAGAAGCAGAAACCTCCACCCTTTTCCAGGCTTCAGGGGCAGCAAGAAGCTCCCTCCTCAGCACGGGAAGCTGCGGAAGCTGCTGTAGGAAGGGCAGCTGATTCCCTATCAATAACACTCCCTCTCCCGGCCCCTCCCGCACCAAACCCCAAAATGCTATGTCAGCAATTCCCACAGAAACAATGGGATTCTGTTGGGTGCCAGGACTCTACTAGCCTCTAGATGGCGCCAAGTCAAGACAAATGCTGATGGGAATTCCTCTAGCTCCCAGCAAGCTGGGGACCAGCCCATGCCTCCTCTCCCCAACTTCAGCCCAGATACAAGCCCAGGCTGAAAGCAAGCCGGCTCCATGGAGATTTCCTATGCGCTTCGCATCCGGGATTTCTGGGCGGACCTCTGTCAGGACGCAGGATCAAAGAGGTGGACACCTGTCCCCACCCAAGTCATCTGGAGAAGCCCAACTCCTGTCCTGAGAAGGCAGATGGGAAAGAAGGCCAGATGAGCAATGACGGCCCCAGAACTCTGTCCCATCCTGGTGGGCTTGGACAGGATTAAGAGCTATAAATAATGCTAATCTACAAAGACCATGTGGATAAAATACGGTGAAGGCAGCACCCAGGTGCGGAAATAAGCATCACGGGGATGCAGACCACAGGAAGGTGACGCAGGGGCCCTGAGCCTGCAGCTGGCAGGTCCTGACGGCACCTCAGTGCAGGGTGGCCTTCCGCCAGCACCTCTAGTCACTGACGCCACTACGAGTCCAGGACCCGGAACTTAAAGCTCCGCTGATTTTATTTTATTTATTTTTAATATACGTTATTGATTTTTTTACAGAGAGGAAGGGAGAGGGATAGAGAGCCGGAAACATCGATCAGCTGCCTCCTGCACACCTCTCACTGGGGATGTGCCTCCAAACAAGGTACATGCCCTTGACCGGAATTGAACCCGAGACCCCTCAGTCCACAGGCCGATGCTCTATCCATTGAACTAAACCAGTTAGGGCAAAGCTCTGCTGATTTTAGACCTCCCTCAAATTCCTGTCCATACCAGCCATGTGAGAAAATTGTGCTTGCTTAAAATTCCCTCTTCTCAGTCCTGCTAGTGGTTGAGTGTTAACCCATAAACCGAGAGGTCACAGGTTTGATTCCCAGTAGGGGATATGCAGGAGCCAGCCAATTAATGATTCTCTCTCATCAATGTTTCTATCTCTATTCCACTCCCTTCCCCTCTCTCTAAAGTAAATTAAAAAACACACAAAGAAAACAAACAAAAATATCCTCCCTCCTTTGAGTTGGGCAGTGACAAGATGAGACTAATGTCGGGGGTGGGGGGTCTGACAAACAGCACCCCTTGGTCACTGGCAGACACTCCCTTCTGCTGCAGAGCAATGGCGGCTTCTGGGGGCTCTGGTCTCCCGGAAGTACAGTGAGGAAGGCTGCCTTTGGCTAAACAGGGTAGGAAGTGCTACACATGGGAAGCTCCGAGAGGTCAGGTCCCCTCGGCCAAATCACACAAAGCCCAGGGAAGGCTGCCAGCGGTAAGGCCCGGCCTGAGGCAGGCCAGGCAGGAGCAGCTGTCAGGCAGCCGGACGGCATGCAGACGGCCCTTAAAACAAGGTGCTAACCTGCTGTAGTCCCACGCGATCATGTAGCCGGGCCCTGGCCCTGGCCCTTTCCCTCTGAGGCTGGCTGACAGGAGCAGAGGCATGAGCCAGGGGCAGGGAATGGAAAGTAACACCTACCTCTTAACAGGGCCTGTTGGAGCCACCTCTGTACCTTTTCTAATCTCATTTCATAAACAGGAGTAGGGACAGCAACATAGAAAACGAAGGGTCAGAGAACATCACAATATGCACAAGCAAAGGAGCACGGATTCAGTCTGAATTTGACACCCAAACTGGCCTTTTAACTCATGGAGTTTGGGGGACCCCAGAAAAGAGCCTCTGGTCTACAAAGGCAGGAGCCTCATTTGCAGCCCCTTTGGTGTCATCTTGTTAGTTCCCTCTCCTTGTGTCCTTTAAATCTCAGCTCCCAGGGCCACAGTGCCCGCCCCTCTCCGCAGTGAGCCCAGAGCATCAGGCGGGTGCTGCCCGGGGCCACGGGCAGGCTGGGGTGCTGGTACTCACTGTGCGCCTCCACCAGATCGATCTGCATGTTGTAGGGCACCAGGGGGTCAGGCAGCTCTGAGAAGAAGCTCTTCATGGCACCAGCCACGGTGTTCACTGTGAAGTCTTTCTCCGCCAAGTCCAGGTTGTGGTCTGAAAGGAAGTGGGAGAGTGAGGCAGGTCGATCTAAGCTGTGCAGAAGCAAAAGGAAGCCCGTGCGTGGGGGAAGTCAGAGAGACCCTGAGGACCCTGGGGGCTGCCCAGGGCTGGCCCGGAGCCGGGGCCGGGCCTCAGGATCACCACAGACCAGACAGCAACCCTGGTGCTACTAAAAGCAGGTTCTCAGATCCGCAGAGGCTGATGGCCAACACTCCTTCCGAGGTCACCCTGTGAGCAGGAGCCGCACCCCTCCTTCTGTGCACCCCGTCAGCTCCCTGTGTCGGCCTCTTCCTAACAGCCATCCCTCCAAGGGAAGAAAGGAAGGGGCTTTCCTAAAAAGCTGCTCACGTTCCTGGTGGGTTGCAAACACATTACCAACAATCTTGAGCATTGTCACCTCAATAAATTCAATAAAAAAGAAAAAAACAACCTACAACAATCTTGATTGCTGCCCCGTCTTCATCCCTCATGATGGTAGGACAGACAGACTTGTTCTTTTCCCTCTGGCCCTTCACAGCTTATGACACCACTGACCCCTGTCTCTAGTTTTTTCTTTTCAGACTTGACGCACTCCTCATTTGTAAGAAGTGACGGACTGATAGTCATTAGCTGTTCCCATTTTGGGGGGTCGGGGGGATGAGCTGTGTTACAGATTCTTGCATATTCGGTACAAGTGCATACCTAAGGGCGTGGCGATACCCTTACTTGGACCTCATGCTTCCCAGCCCTTCTCTTGTGTCGCCTCTGCCCACGGCCGTTAGCAGAGCAGAGTGTGATGCTGCAGTGCGAGGGCCGGAGCCCGGGCAGGCAGCCTGCTCCCGGCGGTGCCCTGGCAGCTGCTCTGTCACGCAGCCCGCACCGGCTGCCTGGCTCCTGAGCCTGGCGTGGTCCCCTCAGGCCCAGCCGTGCGTTTGGCCTAACCCCACTTTGATCCTTGGGTTACCTTCCTCCCTGGCCAGTGACATCTGAGAACTTTGATTGCTTTGGCTCCTCTGCTGCTGGCACCGGTGGGTGAGACTTCTCGTCCACAGAATGCTCAGTGCTAAGAGGCAGGGTTTGGCCGAGGGTTGAGGTGAAATAGATTTGGCCTCAGAGCTGCCCTAGCTTAGGAGATGGGAGTCCCGCTAAGAGCAAGTCTAATTCAAGAGAGTTCAGCTTTAGAAGCCTGAGTCCCAAGGCTCAGCTAATCACAAAATGTTCCCTTGCGCCAAGACTAGTTTGGCTCAGTGGATAGAGCGTTGGCCTTCGGACCGAAGGGCCCCGGGTTCGATTCCAGTCAGGGGCATGTACCTTGGTTGCGGGCACATCCCCAGTGGGGGGTGTGCAAGAGGCAGCTGATTGATGATTCTCTCTCATTGATGTTTCTAGCTCTCTATCTCTCTCCCTTTTTCTCTGTAAAAAATCAATAAAATATATTTTTTAAAAAAATGTTCCCTTGCTTTCTCTCTCATGCAGGGACTTTGTGGGAGGGCACTTCCTGTGGGAAGGGGCCCAGGTAAAATAAGTTTGTCTTCTCAACCAACACTGTGTCATGTGCGTGTAGTGACACCTGCACGGCCCAGTCCCAGGGAGCTTGCGAGGCCCTTCGGTGGTGAGGGAGCATGTGCCAGGGTGGCCCGGACAGCGTCTGTGGGAGGTGATGGCTGACACGGGCTTGGCGGGGGATGTTTCCATGTGCGGACAGGGCCAGTTCCTCCGCCGGGGCAGTGTGACCACGGAGGCGACACTAACTGGGGCAAATGCGTTCTCCTTCTCAGCCACCCAGCCAGCACCTTGGCTCTGGGCTGTGTGTGGCAGGAGCACCCTCGGCTGGACTGCAGCTCCCTCAGGGGCTCCACTGGCAGTTTGGCTGTCGTGGCCGCCCTGACTGGCTCCAGCCTCCGATGCTCGGCGGGCTGTGGCCTTACCTTGATCAAACTGTCTCTGCAGACTCTCCATCTCTGACTTGTTCCCGCTGACCCGGTAGATGCCTTCAGTGCTCAGTCCTGAGGAGAAACAAGCAGGTGTCTTAGGTGCAGGCAGTGGAGAGCAGAAACTGAGGGGGACACTCGAGAGAAGGTGAGAGCATGAGGCACCTTCCATGAGAGGGGAAAGGGCTAAAGCAATTTCCTAGATACTTCAACCTATTTCCCCCATATTCTTTTTACTAGAGGCCTGGTACATGAAATTTGTGTGTGTACCTCAGCCCAGCCTGCACCCTCTCTAATCTGGGACCCCTCATGTGTGTGTGTGTGTGTGTGTGTGTGTGTGTGTGTGTGTGTGCACGCGCATGTGTGTATACCTCAGCCCAGCCTGCACCCTCTCTAATCTGGGACCCCTCATATGTGTGTGTGTGTGTGTGTGTGTGTGTGTGTGTGTGTGCGCGCGCACGCGCGTGTGTGTATACCTCAGCCCAGCCTGCACCCTCTCTAATCTGGGACCGCTCGAGGGATGTCTGCCCATTTAGGCCCGATCCCAGTAGGACATCCCTCTCACAATCCAGGATTGCTGGCTCCCAACTGCTCACCTGCCTGCCTTTCCGATTGCTCCTAACCGCTTCTACCTGCCACCTTGATCACCCCCTAACTACTACCCTGCCAGCCTGATTGCCCCTAATTGCCCTCCCCTGCAGGCCTGGTCCCCCCCAAACTGCCCTCCCCTGCAGGCTTTATCGCCCCCAACTGCCCTCTCCTGCTGGCCTAATTGCCCACAACTGTCCTCCCTTGTAGGCCTGGTTCCTCCCAACTGCCCTCCCATGCAGGCCATCTTGTGGTGGCCATCCTATGTCCACATGGGGGCAGCCATCTTGTGTGTTGAGGTGAAGGCCAATTTGCATATTACTCTTTTATTAGATAGTATTCCCCATTCATTTTTAGAGAGTGGAAGAGAGGATGGAAGGGGGAGAGTGGGGAAGAGAGAAACATCAATGTGAGACATACACTCATTAGTTACCTCCTGTACACCCCCCAACCAGGGCCAGGGATCAAACCTGCAACAACCCAGGTACATGCTCTTGACCAGGAATTGAACCCTCGACCCTTCACAGTATGCAGGTCAACGTTCTAATCACTTAGACACACCAGCCAAGGTCCCCATATTCTTTTTCACTTAAAAATACTTGATTTTGAAAAAAAAATCAAAATAATATAGAAATACATCAGCCAAAGATAACTTTGTCCAGTTTGATGTATACTCTTGAATTTTATTTTATTTTAACAAAAGGGAGATAATATTCTATTAACCTACTCTTTCACTTACCAACTATGTTGTGAACTTACTCTAGTTATTAAATATTATTTTTTTACAATATGATTTTAAAGACATCAAAGGATATAGTAACTTTAAAAATAGTCCTATTGTTAATCATTTAGGTCTTCCCACGTTTTCACTGTTAGAAATAACCCACAATTATGTTTTTTTGGATAGCTAGTAACTGTAACAGATTCTTGGCAGTGTGTATTTCTTACTTTGTGAATTTCCTATTCACATTCTTGTTTATTTTCCTGTAAGAATGGCTCTTCTCATTTTGTACTTGAAAGAAGTCTTAGAATATTAAGCAATTGCCTGTGTTAATGTTATAAACATTTACATTTTTTGCCTTTTTGTTATTGGTCTTCTACTTTTGTTATTACATTTTATAAAGTACATAATTTAAAAAATTCAGGTTTTCAAGACCAGTCACTTTCTTTATGATACCTTCCTTTGTTTTTTATGCCTAATATGGATTTTCCCATTCTTAGTTTAGTTTCTATTTCTTTCTTCTTTCCCACCTTTAAAAAAAATATATATATTTTATTGATTATTTTTTTTAGAGAGGAAGGAAGAAGGCTAGAGAGTTAGAAACTGATGAGAAACATCGATCAGCTGCCTCCTGCACACCTCCTACTGGGGATGTGCCCACAATCAAGGTACATGCCCTTGACTGAAACCAAACCTGGGACCTTTCAGTCTGCAGGTTGATGCTCTACCCACTGAGCCAAACCGGTTAGGTCTTTTCTATCTTTTTTTTTTTTTTTTTTTTTTAAATATATTTTATTTATTTTTACAGAGAGGAAGGGAGAGAGAGAGAGAGCTTTAGAAACATCAATGAGAAAGAGTCATCAATCAGCTGCCTCTTGCACAACCCCTACTGGGGATGTGCCCGCAACCAAGGTACATGCCCTTGACCGGAATCGAACCCGGACCCTTGAGTCCTCAGGCTGATGCTCTATCCACTGAGCCAAACCGGTTTCGGCTCTTTCATATCTTTTTAAAAAAACATTTAACTCTGTGATTCTTCTGGAATTTACCAGGTGTACCGAGTTAGGTAAGGAAATAAGCCCAATACTAAAATTCAACTAAATAGCATAGAAGAATATAAAGCTTCAACTGAGCGACTGCAGGCCTCCACACTTCACTCCCACCCCTTGGCTGCGCAGATTCTAAGCACTGTCCAAGCACTGTCCACTGACTCCATCTCCCTTCCAGGGAAGGAAAGCCCACTGCTGCCCCCTTACATCATAGTCTAGAGGACAATTAAGTCCCCGTGGAAACCAAGATGGGGTCTCAGGGCCAAACCAATCCCGGTCCCTTCTGAAGACTGGCTTCGAGCAGCTCTGGCCGCTGTTGGCACTGAGGAAGTGCCCTGAGCTGCCACTGCACACACACCAGAAGGCAGTGCACGCAGTGGAGAGAGGGCCCCATCAAGCCTGCCTGCTCCTGGGGCCCCAGATTAGTGGCAGGTGAACTCCGAAGAACACAGAAGCTAAAGTCATCAATTCCTGGCTTAACAGCCGTTAAGTGCAGACCGGTCTTTCACCCCAGAGAAAAAGGGGTTAATGGATCGGTCCCAAGGACACCCTATGATGCAATGTCTAGTTTATGAAGGAGCTGCCATCACTGCACCCGGTGAGAGAGGGACAGACACTGTCTAACCTAAGGCCCCAGATGCACCCGGCTCAGCGCTGACCTTTTCCACTGCCCATCCCCCCTCTTTTGGAATGAAAGAGCTTTCCTGCACCCACCACCCTCACTCATTTATTAAAAAATGATAAAACCATTGAACCCTCAGCCCCCAATGGCAGGAGCTACTAAACGAAGAGAAGACAAACGAGAAGAGTGAGGTTCAGAAAGGCCTTGGCCGCCCCGCTCAGCGGTCCGTGGTGGACTGGTCTGAGTCCAGGGCCTTTCCCACCCTCTGTCCACACTGTTCCGGAAGTCACTTGACATTTATCCCCCAGGCTGAAGTCCAGACCAGTCTGTCCTCCCAGAAATACCACACTTGAGTCAAGTCCACTGGCCCTCGGCATTCTGGTAGCTTTGTAGATGGCACGTCCCCTACTGCTGTCAACCCAAAGGTCAGAGGCGAGGGGCCGGGCTGGTGCACCATCCCGTTAGTAATTTTACAACGGTCTCTTTTCTCAGGACTTCTCTAAACGGTTCTCAGATGTATTTAAACATCCTACTTATTTCACATCTAAGTGATACACAGCACATGCTTATACTTGAAACCATCGGCATTTGGGCAAGAACTGGGTGGGTAAGTGTCAGCAGGCTCACACCTTCACCACTGGGCTGAACAAACTATTTCCTAGTAGTCTTCTCCTGACCGGACTATCATCCCCCTCCAACACAGAAAACAAGCAGCAGGAGCTTCCGAAGTGCGGAGAGGCACCCTCTCACCCTCAGAGCCTCTCAGCCTCAGGCTATGTATCATCTGCGACCCTGACCTTCAGCTCCGACAGCAGTCCTCTGCCCTGTCTCCTGATGGCCACTTGCCCAGCACAAGGCAGAACACAGAGTGCAAATTAGTTATCTGGAAATGTTCAGAGGTAAGGGCTGCCGGAACCTCGCCAGATCCATGATAACAGAAAGGGAGGCACTGAAAGTGCAAGGCCAGCTCCCCAGTATCCATTAATCATCAACTTAGCATTTCCTGTAATGCGGATGCGTGTTTACTTTATGAAATCCCATTTTAAAATAGTAATTCCACCGCTGCCCTACGCAACACCATAACATCATTTAGAAAAGCTATTATTTGCTTGGCCAGTACAACTTTTCACAACTACTAATTAGACAGCAATTAAATAACAACAAAAACTGTGGAGCAGACTTTGAACACGTGAAGGCTGGTGGTAAAACGGAGGGCTGGTGACAACAGTGAGATGGGTGAGGATGCAGTGAGAACTAGGACACCTGACAGGCACGGGCAGCAAGGACTCAAACCAGAGCAGGACAGGGCCGGGGTGCTGCAGGCGGGGCTGGACTGAGGCCTCACAGAGCACTGTAGGGGTGACTGGCGCTCTCCTGCCAGCAGGAGGCACAGTCCTTACCGACAGCAGCCCCCAACCGCAATGTCTTTCCACGCCCACACGTCCACCCGGAAAAGCTTCAGCCTTGAACTGTGGGGCATGTCTACACACAGAAATCGCCAAAGACCCCACTACTCAGGCAATCTCGGAGAAAGGCCTTTTTGCTAAAAAAAAAAAAAAAAAAAAAAAAAAAAAAAAAAAAAAAAAAAGCCCAAATGGTTTCAAACATCTACTTTGTTTTATGTTTAAGTTAATCATTGAGAATAGAACAAGACAAAGTTCAGAATGGCCAAGGTCACTATCTTCAAATATCCAAATTACCATGCCGAACAGTTTTGTTCCAAAGGCTCACGAGACCAGAGCTCCAACTAAGAATGGAAACGATAGGAAGGCAGATATCCTCTCAGTAAATAAAATTATGCAGAGCCACAGCTGTCACTCCTTGGAATGGGCCAGAGCTTTTGAACTCCCTCCTCAAGAATAGCCATCTGTCTGGAATGCTGTTTAAAAAGATAAGTATCTGGTCTAAAGAGATAGTAATAACAATAATAAACCATTTACTGACTGCTTACCACGTGCGAGGCACATAATGCTAAGTGCTTACCATACATTTTACATTAACTCATACCTCAGCGCCAGAGAGGTGATTACTAATCCCATTTCAGAGACGGGAATGCAGAGGCTGAGGGGTAAGTAACATGCACAAGATCAGAGTG